CTTCGCGTATTGACATTCCGTTCTTGAAGCGTCATGCTGCAGTGCGTTACGTTAAATTGCATTTTGCACGTCGGCGAACTGTAAGAAGACGAAATTAACGTGACAAGTGATCGCTAATTAAACTTAATCCCTACTGACGCATATCCCATAATACTGACATGATAAAATTTGACGCCGCACAGTTTTGTCCCAATTATGGAGCGTGCAATTCAACATCAGCCGAACGCTGTTAACGCTGCAATTAACAGTTAATGTGTACTTAAATTACGAAATGCGTCATGCATTGTACGGCGCCGTGTTCCCATCGATTGTCCCTCAATCGGGCAGCGTGAAAGTGGTTGTAGCACTGGAAGAAAAGTGACGAAGACCGTTTCTACAACCGACTTTATCCTTGTTGGAGTTCTCTCTCTCTCTCTTTGTCTCTCTTTCTCGAAAAACTGGGAAGACTCCGCGAATATTAACAACCCATTCTCTTTGATCTTAACTCACCATGGAACTCACCATGCTCTTAAGAGCAAAAGCAAATATCATTATGGCTTTTGTCTAAATTTAGAGCATCTCGTCACTCTGCCAAATCTTATAATCAACACCGTTAAGTCCCAACATGACTAATGGAAAATCGGCAAGAGATCTCTTTTCCAAGAGAATAAGCGTCTTGAAGTAACTTGAATCTCTGCCCGTAGTGAGAATTTTTTCACAGGAGGCCACAACATTGTTTCAGTATGTCAGTGCGACATAACAATGATCGGCGCAGGTGCCTCAGATTGAAAGATCCCCATTGTGTGTTCATGGTACGGAGAATATTGCCGCATTCGGCGCTAAATGCGCAACCGAGAACCGGGGCGCGATCCTCCTTGCCAAAAGCCGCGCCGCTGTCGTCGTCGGGGGTGGCCGCTCGCTCGCTCGCTCGTTCGCCCCGACGGAGACGCTCGATTATCGCGTGCCCCGCGACCCGACCAGCGCCATCAAACTCCCGAGCCGCCGAGATCGAAGATCCGCGGACGTTTCGGGGCGGCCGTGCACACGCCCGGCCGTAACGAGCCGGCAAGCAAGAGCGAGAGAACGCGAGAGGGAAAGAGAGAGTGAGAAGCAGAGGGAGGAACGAAATAGACAGAGAGAGAGAGAGAGAGAGAGAGGACGAAAAGGACAGGTGGACGTGTGTGCGCGTGGAAACGCTTGGAAGTCATTGGTGTCGATGCTGTCGCGAGTGTCGAGGAAAGAGCGAGAGCGAGCGAGTGCACGTCGGGGGTTGGGGGTGGTCGATACGGCCCTGGGGCCGCGACAGCCGCGTCGGAGGCCTCCCCATTCTTCCTGCAGGCGTTTTTGCCTCTGCCGCGTTTCACCTCTCTCTCTCTCTCTCTTTCTCTAAAATCCCCGCGTCGTCGTCTCCTCCTTCCTCACAGTGTACTCTCTTATTCTGTCTACGTCTTGCTTCCTCTCTGAATCTCTCTCTCTCTCTCTCTCTCTCTCTCTCTCTCTCACTCTCACTCTATCTTTCGCTCTCTCTTTCCCTCTCGTCTCACCCTTCCTTTCTCCTCTTGTTCCGAGTTTCTCTCGTGCTCCCTCTTTCGCTTTCTCGCTCTTTCTGCATTTCGCGCACTTTCTCTCTTTCCCTCGCACGCATACTCTCTCACTCTCTCCCTCCCCCTTCTCGTCACACTCCCTCAATCCATCCAACCCGATCCGCCGCCTCTTCCCCGTCCTCCACCCACGCAACGCGTTCCAGCCGCCACCGACACCCCCCCTCCTCCCCCTCGGTGCAACCTTCCTCTCTGTCCCCCAGCCCTCGTCCTCCTTCCATCCTTCCTCCCTCCCGCTACCCTCCGGTGCCACTCTCACGCCGCCAGCAACCGCGCAGACCCCGCCTAATCGTGCCACCCCCGGCTTGATTAAAGAACAGAGAGGCTCGGCGCGAGGGTCGCTGCCGTTAGTTCTCCTCTCTCGCTCCTTCTCTTTCCCTCCCATTATTTCTCTGTGTTCTCCTCTTTCTCTCGCCTGTCTCCTCCGCTTCCGTGTCGTTCTTTTACCTTGCTTGCTCTCGTCATCGTTCTTCCTCCCGTCGCACTTTACTCATCGTTCGCAAGGTTCTTCCGAGCAAGGTCCTTCGTGTAAGTCGGCCACGTGGACGTCGTAACATCCCGAGAAGCGATGTCACGCGACTCGGTCGTTGCAGCACGCGGAGAGAAGGCGTCTGTCATCTCCCTCGTGCCCTGCGCCTCCTCCCGTTTCGTCGTTCATTCCTCTCTGAAATTTCTCTCTTCTCTCTTTCCTTCTCTCCTCCGCTTTGCGTCTACATTTCAAGGTTACTTCGCGAGATTTACATCGCGAATTTAAAGCGATCCTCCGTGAACCTCCGTTACACATGTGTCAAGAGGACACGCTTTTAAAATGCACTTTATTAATTTGATAGACTCAAATCTGCTTTGTAGCAAAAAATTGAGAAATTATTCGTAAGGTTCAGAAATTATTTTTAAGGTTCTTATAAAATCTACATTATGGCTACATCTACATTATATCTACATGGCTTCATAAATTGCTCTCAAAACACACAATATCTGTAAGCAATGTTTTCTTGCATACTATGTTGTATAAATATTCGATGTTTTGAACATGTCGGACTAGCTTTAAATCTCCGAAATTCTCTAAAGTATTCTTCCTCATCGACTTAGTTTACGAAATGAAACGTCTAACAGTTGGTGAAGGTGGTGATTCGTCTCGATGACAATTTTCTCTGCGCGAGATTGGACTTAAAACCAATTATTAACACGTCGCGGAGATATCACGAGAATATCTCGGGGATATCTCGTGTTTTCCATACTGAAGCACGAGGCGGATCACAGGAATTGTCGTCCAAAGAGATACCGAGTCGACGCAGTTTATTTTACTCGTAAAAATGACCGATCCTTCGAAATTCGATGGTTTCTTTTTCCGTTTTGTCACGAAGCTTTCACGCCGACCTAATACCTGGTTACTGACTGAGCAATAGAAGGACCAGTCCGCGATGTATTAAGCAGGCGAAGTGTGAAAAGGAGAGACGCGTTTTACGGCGCGTCGTGGCATATCCGTGACTCGCCGAAACTGGATCGCCAGCTCTGATTTTCAGGAGCGACGACGACGACGACGACAACGACAACGGCTGGTGGGTGAACGGTGCTCGACGTCGCTCGCCGCCGCCGCCGCCGCCGCCGTTGAGATGAAATTGCACCGCCGCCGGGCGGGACGAGAGATGCTGGGACGACGAGAGCTCGCGCGAGAAATATGCAAATCCAATCGGACCGGACTCGCGCGGTCCTTCGTCCGCCTCTCGCAAAGCGGTTTACCGAAATGAATATTTTTCTATTCCGCGTCCGTGCCTTGATCCTCTGGGCGCGGCCTTGCGTCTCAATATTCCGCGATATCACGATAATTAATGAATTAAACACTTACCCGCGACTAGCCGATCCGGATGTGCGTTACGACATATCGTGGTTGACCTTCGCACCGAGACGTCGATCTCAGAGACGCTAGCGATTATTCATGATCTGAGAATACGTTATCTAGTAGACGATATTTCAAGAATGAACTTGATTCTTTGCCGCTAGCCGTGTTCTACGATTCAGAGCGTGTATAATAATGTATGAGCATAAGTTTCGGGGAAAAGCAGCTCTCAGTTTTCCAGAGACTGTACTCTGTACTCTCCGAACTTACTATCAGCGTATTCTTCACCGAAACGCTATACTTACAACGCATGGTTCAGTCGTAAGTGTAGCACTGCAATCGATAAAATCTCGCTGATGGAATCAGTTGATAGCAGCGGCTGTTGCTATTATTGGGACAGTTTGCAAACACAGACAGTGTCACTGCACGCAACTCGCATGGAAGTCGTTAATTCCAACGCTACAAACGCAGAAAGTTGAGTTTTAACAACGTATAATGAATTTATCTACTATATATTTTGCCGTGGAATTTTATTCATATTGATCCAAATCAGTGAAATGTAAAATAATAGGCAATAAAGTAGGAATGTTTTCGCTGGAAATCAGTGAATATTCACTGATTATCGGTGAAATATTCTTGCTGATTTAATCAGACACACTTTATTGCTCCATTTTAAGAGAGAAGCGATGAAATTTATGGTATGTTCATAAACTACTGTTTTGACATTTATGCTTTCTTATGGATGGAGCACAGCAACGTACACACAAAAAAATAGATATTGCATTCAAGTGAATATTACTTGTTTTAAATATTTCATAAGGTTATATACTCGCAATTCTATTACGGGTTCATCATGAGCTTCAAATTTATTTAAAATACACATTATAAATTCTAGTAAATTTAACATTTTAAGCAAGAGTTTATGAAATTAAAAGAAAATTCTGGTTTGCTTATTACGTAGAGTTGAACTTTTTCTTCGATAAAGCTTTATAGTATTCTTGTAAAAAGAATAAATTCTTCTTTTGAATACATGTACAGAAAAAAAATATTTTTGTTTGTAAAGGAAACACTTTTACTTTCGACATGTAAATCTTAAAGTGAGATTACATAAAATTGAGTGAAGATAAACTACTTGCATCAATACATCTTATATGATTTTTCAAAGAGAAATATATTCTTATTGTTTAAAAGTAATTTTCACAAAATAATGGATTGAAAATGTGATGTTTTTATATATCGGAAAAAAAGATACTCTCTTAAAGTGAATCAGTGAAACATCATGGAAAGCAGTAAAAATATACTGATTTGCAGTTATAAGTATAGCACTGAAACTGCTCAGTGCTATAATTATAACTGATATCAGTGACTCTTCACTGATTCACTTTAAGAGAGTATATATACTATATTCATGAAAATATTCTTTTTGTTGAGAGAAATCACTACTTAAGAGAAGAAAAATAAACTAAAATCACCGCTTTCTTTTAGCAACGGAATTATATTTTTTTCGATAATGTTTTTAAGTTGACGTTCCGAAGTCGCACCAGATTGTAACGAATGACTCAAGGCAATTTTCGTTTTCACAGTCACTTTTGAAGACGGCCAACCAGTTGAAGATCAAGGCCCTCTGCGAGGAGAACCGAGACGACCCGCCGTCCGTGAGCCTGAGCTCGTCACCGAGGGAGTCCGGCACCCCGAGATTGAACTACACGAAGTTGAAAAAGCACCATCCGCGGTACAAGCGACCAAGAACCACGTTCGAGCCACGCGCCACCGACCCGAGACATTTCGAGCGCTATAAAGAAGAGGAGGTCAACGAAGATTACAGACGCGATAATAAAGAGGTAACCATCGCTGACCTGTAACGGAGATACGAGTGTTTGAACATCGATTCAACAAAATGATACACACTCGATCGGAGAAACCTAATCCGGGCATAGATGTTCTGTCTGGTTTCGGCGAAAGTACACAATTCGCGTTTGCAATTTCGTCAATATGTGATGAGAGAACACATTTAAATTTGCTCGAACATTTAAATACGCGAATAAACCTCACACCGAGTATTACTCTATTCATCTCTATTTATCGGCATTAGTTTGTCTAGTTATTGGAGTTTTTTATTTATGTCGTACAGGAAATCGATTTGGTAAGTTGGCAAAATCCATTATTTCTACTGTTCTTTAACAGATTTCAGTAAGCAGGAATTTCAATGTTATCTTTGACATGTTTAAAAATCTTACTTGCTTCATTTTGTAAATTGTTATCAAATACTAGAAATAACTGATTTTGCCAACTTACCCCGGTAGCCAATTAGCTTTGCTATCCCCCAATGTTAAGTTGGTGCAAAAAAAATATGTCTACACTTTTCTATTAAACTGTCGTAAAAAGTATGACTATTAAAAGAAGAACGAAAAAGCTGTGTTAGATGTCTAAAAAATGAATAAAATGTTCATTTTATTCGTAAAAAATATTAATCCTTCAAAATTGAATAATTATATTTTCTATTTTATTCAACAAACCTTCTGCAATAATTTAATATAAAGTCTCTTTTTATCTCTCTTTTATTTCTCACACACAGAGTCTGGTAAAAATAATATAATAATTTAAACATAAATTTCTGGATAGTGAAGGAAGAATTTTGCAAGAGAGATTACGTGCTTTCGAAACAAAAACACATACACACACACATACACACACACATCACATATCGCATTAACATTAAATGCTACTCACATCATTAAGATCGGGACTGACCGCGCGGCCAATGTATGCGATGTCCAAATTTAACCGTAGTGGTGGAAAATTAACTACCTCGAAAGCGCGAAGAGCGAAAGACGAAAGCGAGGGAAAGCGTAGAAACGCAACCGGCCGTCCCGTGTCGGACGGTTGTTCGATCTCGTCAGGGTCGAGCGCTAAATTCGTACCGGATATTCCACAGAACCACCAGGACTGGCAAGTCGAAGATGAAGAGTGCACGGAGACACCAACAGCAGCAGTAGTACTAGATACCTGCCAGCGCAACAACAACAATAACAATAACAACAACAACGGTAACGGCGCGAATAACAACAACAACAACAACGGTAAGTTAATTCCACCGATGTGTCCGCCCCACACCTGGCCGTCGTGTCGACAAGAGTCCATTTTCTCGTGTTGTCTGCCGTCGACACATTTTTACGATGTTTTGCAGAATCAGTTTGTCAGTTTGATAAAAATTCTTGTTGTGTGATCCGCAATCCAGGCTTTCCAATACGTGGGTGTTGATATGCCGAGATGTATTTGCAGTAATCGTATAATGTTATTTTAGAAGGAGGGTATCTGGCTTCGTTCAGAAAACATCTGTATTGTTCACTCAATTCGAGTCACTGTCTTTTGCTCGAAAAAT